TTAGATAATAATTTTAAATTTACTAACAAAACAGATAGGAAAACATTCTTAATTTAGATCGAAGTGTATTGGTAGCTAATCGTGCAATTGTGTTTCATATCATAGTGGTATCGAGATGAAACTCAGAATAGAGCAAAGCGCTTTTTCGTTGGCAGAGTTCTTTCTCGAAATCTGTGTTCAAAGTCACCGTTCGCTCGTTTACTGAGTATGAACATTTTGCGTCATATTTATTTTATTTCTGTTGTAGAATTTATGGAATTGTAACTAGGTAGCAAGAGTAAAACATCCGATCAATGAAAAACATTGAATGCCAGACTCGATTTGAAGAACGATAACTTGTTTTCATTTCAAAATATACAGTGAACGAATCAATTTATTCGCCTCCATTTTATTCATTACCAACTGACTACAAGATACGAGCTCGACTTTAATTAAATGAGCAGGCAACTGCTACCCACGGAAAAATATTTAAGTAGATACCGCTGTTAGACGCGGTTTTTTGATAATGACCACGGTTATATCTTTGGAGACCGCGGTGTGCGAAATAAACCGCATTTTTTTGCGGTATGTCATACCGCAATATAGGTTTACTGTGGTATGCTCTAACGAAACCGCCATGTAGTTACCGCTGGAAGTCGCGGTTTGAAAAAAACTCGGTGATATGTAGATTATTTGCGGTATTCGAGAACCACTGTCGTTCGCGATATTATATCTTGTGACCTTGCTATTACGAATCGCGATCTCCATACATTATTTCCAAAGATATCATTATTCAGAAGAATATAGTCTTAGTATATTCTGAGACATTTTATGTAATTGTTGTCATAATGAGATATCACAACAATTTTGCTACATACAGTTATGATTTGATATAAAAGAAATTCTGCTTGAATTTAAGTTCTGTTTTCTTCTGCTTAAGAAATGAAACAGATTATAGGCTGATAATTTCTAAAATAAAAATATAGCATTTTTTATTAAACCTTAATAAACTTCTTATCTATATTCATTTTGTTGATAATATAAAATAAATTGAAAAAGAATTAATTCCAAAAGTCGAATTACAGACAAAATATTTTAGAATCACATCAGGCCTGAATAAACGTCATGTAAAGTTAAGATTATATTAAATTAAAAATATAGACAAATATATATTAAAATATTAGTCAAATTTTACTCAGATAAATATTTCTGATAGGATTCACAAGATAGTGGAAGCTCAGACGTAAAAATACACGCAACTCCATCATTTCAATTGATAAAATCGAGATATATGTCAAATAGTAATCTCATCGGCGTTTTGACATATAGATTTGTATATATACTGAATTACAAGAGTACTTCAAATAATTAGACTTTTCAGTGCCGCACGATACCACAATTTCTCAACTATAGATTCTGATAAATTTGTACTTTCCTCCAGAAAAAAATTTATTAAAATATATTATGTTTATGCGTTAATAATCATGACTAAGTTATAAACCAATAAATTAGATTTTGCAAATTACATGCAATTCATCAGCAACATGAATCTATTAGGAAGTTTGATAAAATTATAAATATCGTATAAATTACTAGTAATTCTAAGATTCTTATAAATTTGCTAGTAAACATAAGTCTGAGATTTTTCACCACTGATCAGAGAGACTATCATATTTAATATTAGTATGAACATAGCCATATGGCTCAATCGAATTAGTGGATTGCAATGGCACGGTAAGAAGTTCGAATCTAGCTAGAGGAAAAAATAATAAATAGATAGTGGTATTAAACGAGTTGGCCGCGGTATTAATCGCTGCATTGAGATCAAAGATATGTCGTGAAGATGGAAAATCAAGGATTACCGCATAGATGCCAGGTATAATATACCATTATATGATGAATTAATTTTTTTTCAAAAAACGTTAATAACTGCAGTTTGAGGATACCGCGGTTTCGGGTGGTGTGAAAAAACCTACTAAACGGTCTGACTTTCGCGGTTCTAAATAACCGCTGAGAGTCGCAACTGGTAAACCACCAATAACCGCGGTTTTGGTTGAAAAATTTTTCCGTGGGCAAATTGCAAAATGACATACCAAAAAGTTTGATCTTCTTTTTATTAGTGTGAGAACTAACAATGAGCTGTGATTATTTGTCAGACGTTTATTTTTTATTTTATCACCATTGCATTTGTACAGTTTGTGCTTTCTCTCAGGTATGAAAAAAGTATTGTACGAAATATCATACTCCTTGGCAAAAAGAAACCTGTACATAATTTTATTAGCTTGAAAATCATCATTGAATTTGGATTATTTTCCACAATTTTGTTGTATTTTTATAAAAAATCAATTTTTAACACCTGGACTCCCCTTCAAGGACCGAAAAACCTTTTTTCTTCTGGTTTTAATATAGATAGATATATTTCCATAAAGTTAAAATTTCTGATTACAAGTATTTACTCAGTTTTGAATTTCATCGAATAATAAGAATCATATGAAGCACTCTCTCGGAGCCTTAAAAAACAGTTATTGACCTAAAGATCTATGAATATTCGATTTATACTGTTTGAAAATAGGTTCGTTTGATGCAAAATGTTTTTTTTTCTATCAGAATATATAAGAACGACTTACATATTCAATCGTTTTTCCCTCGATAAATTTTAAATACCAGCCGCGATCTGGTCATACAGTCACAAATACTGTTTTTCTCAGTCTTATGAAGTAGTTTCAAACAGAATAATTCCTATGCGGCTGAATATAAATATTATATTTGTTTTAAGCACAAAATCTAAGCGGGTCTAATTATTTTACAACTTTTGTTTCCGGTCAGTTTTTTACGTCTGATCCCCTTCAGGATTATATGAAAACAAAATATTTTATTCAAAGCAACTATTTGATTGATTATCAATTGATCTATTTTATCGCAAGCATCATTCCCAAACTTTGGAAACTTTTAACATTGTCTACATGGCTTTTGGAGTAAGTTAATTTTTTCACTATCCATGGCGAGGACCAGATGTGAAAATCTGACCGAAAACAAAAGTTGTAGAATTAAACGAATTAGATTTTGTGCTTAAAAAAAATATAATATTTAAATTCAGTCAAGTGGGAATTGATCTGTTGGAAACTATCGAATATCGGTCACAAATGACAGAAATCCGGTTTCAAGAGTAGTATTGGAGCAGAAACGCTTCACATTACAAGGCGTTTTAATTTGAAACAGTTTTATTAGAGAGAGGACATTCAATTACGTATTCGGTAAGAAAATGTTTCTGGTAAACCCCGAAAAGCTACACTTCATAAAATTGAAAATAGCAATATTTCTAACTGCATGACGCAATCGGGGCGGTATTTAGCATTTATCGATAAAACAAAATTTGAATATCTAAGTCGTTCTTATATACTCTGATAGACAAAAACATTCTGTATCGAAGGGGCCTATTTTCAAACAGTATAAATCGAATATTCATGAACCTTTGGGCCAATAGCTGTTTTTAAGTCTTCCCAAGAGTGCTTCAGATCTTTCTTAGTATCCAATGAATTTTAAAATCTAAGATGATATTTGTGATTAGGGAACTTAACTTTATCGAAATATAACTACTTGTACTAAAATCTGAACCAAAGGTTTTTGTTCGATCTTTCAGGGGTACTCCAGATGTTAAAAATTGAGTTTTCATAAAATACACAAGTTCCTAATTTGGCACACCTCTTTTTTGATCGTGCAATTAGTGTATTCGCCAAGACTGCCGGAGAACAATCAGTTTAACAGAAAATTTTGTCGTCCTGCCGTATACCACTCCTTTATTTTACTGTTCCTTTTTCACAACTATTAACATCCTTAGCATGTTTCAGCATCTCTAGCACTTGTTAAGCACCTTCAGCACCTTCGGCACTTTAAAGTAAAATTTGGTGCTTGGAGTCAGCACTTTCCCCCTTGGTTACAGAGAAAATAATTAATTAATTTCTATGTAACGGTCAGTGCGAGTGGGGTAGGGGATAGGTCCAAATTTCTACCTTATATACTTCAACATTCCTTTCAGATCGTGTTTCACAAAACATGTTAATGATAAAGCGAATAACGAACGTACTGACTAAGTAAAACAGAGAACAATATTTATAATATTACCAACGGGGTATACCTTTGAGAAGAGAAAATTATTTTTATTCACATTTATCATACGATATTCTATTGCCATTTTCGTTTTGCTGCTCTTTGGATCTATCATTATCATATCAGGCAGCAATATTATTTGAAGAATCGCCGGTTTCAAATGAACCGACTCCAGCAAATAAAATAAACAGTACAATTTTACATGAAAAACCTCGCCGACACCAAGCACTTATTGTAAAGCAAAAAACATTTAGTGACATAGATATTAATCGAGCATTACTAATAGTGTATGATGATGACGCAAATGGGAATAGGTATCGATGAAATCCACAGACAATCCAGAAGTATCACCATCTTACAAAACAAGAATCATTTTGAAAACTTTTGATATTAAAAATCTGCAACAATTGAATAGTCTTATCAAGATGGTTGATACGCTCGTTATTATTCCTCCATCAATATTAATATCTGTTTTGTACAATGAATATTTTTCTCTACTTCAAATGTTTTTTCATTGGTATACTCCGTCAGTGACGTCATCGTTCATCATTAACCAATTATGAATTCTTAGTTTTTCGTTCGATAACTAAATTAATGAGTATAATAATTACTAATATTCAAAACATTAATAACATTCCACTATGGCTAGCGGATTCTAAATTACTGAAGACGATTGTTCGTTGTCTGACCGATATAGCCACATCAGAAGAATTTCTCAATGTTGAGAATCATCGTTCATTAAAAAATCTAACACATTTAATAGAAATATATACTGATTATCAACATGGTTTAAATGATACGTATCATTCTGATAATGATAAATTTGTATTGTTATTCGATCCTATTGCAAAGTGTCTTTGTGTCATCTTATTGTATTAATACTTTCAGCAATATATCACAAGATAAAAAAATCAATGGCAACTATTGAGAAGTTGTACCTATTTAAATGCCCATCATTTATCACTTCATACAAAAGTAATTTGTCTTATCGAGTTTTTATATTCATGAAAGTAATGTTTTTTTCTGTTTGTTATTATTTATAGGTTCTTGTCTCGGAGAAACTATGGAAAATTTACTTGCAACAATGTTACCTAACTATGAAACAATATTAAATAAGATAGTTCCTTCAGCAAATAATTGGAATCAAACAACAAGCCAAACTGTCGATCAATTATTCGAAATAATCAATTATGGAGCAGATAAATTTCCAAAAAGTGCTACACTTGCTAGCGAACTTTTGAAATTAATTGATCATGTATTTGCATTGGTCAATGAACCACTATTCTACGATAATCTTCAGAAAGCATCGAGCATAGAGACGACTTTCGTGGATACGACGATTAGATTTCTTAGGAATATCATAAGTGAACCAGCAATTCTTACTTATATAAAAAAAAGCTCGTGCAACACCTATATTTCTTCGTGTAACATCATGCCAATCTAAACCATTAGTACTTAATGTTTACACTTGACTTGCACACATAACATATGAAGAAGATGTTAAAGCAATGCCCAATCCTGGCCGATTACTTTCTACAATTATTGAATCAATTGAAAAGACATTTTTTGGAAAGCCTGAAACAACAACATCAATAGAACAATTACTCGAAGCTTTGCAAGGTATTGAATAAACTACGAGGTTTTTTGAAAAATAATGGTTAATCATATTTCGTTTTCTAGGTCTTATTCAGTATGATCAAATAAAAGATGAAATCTTAAAACAAGATAACATTCCATTTATTCTCGAATGTACAAACAAATTAATGAAAAGACCGTTGATATTAACTTTTGAAATGTTATGGTCTTTGGCATTCTCCGACGACATTGGTAGTGTTTTACGTACTAATTCGAATTTTCTCGATAAAATTCAATCTATTGCAAAAGATAATAAAGATACATCGGTGAAAAAAGTAATTGATGGACTTATTTGGAAGCTTGCACAAGGTATCTCAACTTTATTCTTCCATTTCCATTAACCTTGATTAAAATATTTTTTGATTCATAACTATTTTAGAACCAATCTTCTTAGATAAAGTTTAAAAACAAACACACAATCTGGGACGGCAAAATAGCTCGGTGGGACATCGAGTGAACAATCATGTCAATATGATATTATGATCTCGTACTGTCATGCTGATAAAGAACTAATTTATAAAATATAGAAATTTCTTATTAAAGAAAATTTTTCAGTATGAATCGATCTGGATAATATGTATGGACCAGGTAGAAGTTTTATTAAATTACTGACGAAAGATTAGTTTACTATTACTATTTTTAGTTATGAATGCAATGGCAGATGCAGTTGAAAATTCAGAATTCGTTCTAGTTTGTATGTCGGATTCTTACAAACAAAGTACATATTGTCAAGCTGAAGCAGAATATGCATTCGGTTGTAAACGACGTTTAGTGCCATTGAAAGTAAGACCAAGATATAGAGCAGCTGGATGGTTAGGACCAGAGACGCGCACAAGACAATATTTTTTGTCCTGTTCTTACCTGTCCTGCTGGCTATTTTGGTCCTGGTGGGCGGCAGGGCAGCACAAAAATCGAAATCTCATCCTGTCCTCCAGGACAGGGCAGGACAGGACAGCAGGACCGCCCCTGTCCTGTGCACGTCTCTGGTCTTGACCAAATAATACCAATATGTGACGCAATGAATGGTCGAGCTTTAATCAAACTATAAAATATGTGTGTAAGTTATAAACTTCGAGAATATTCTATACTTAACAATGAGCTAAACTCTATGCATACATCAAAATTATGCATTACTGCTTATTCTCGCTTTTTAACTATTCTAGGAGAAATAATCAATGTTCCATCATCAGCACCAAATACATCATCATCATCATCATCAACATCGTCACCATCAGCAACACTACCATCACCACCAACAGCAACGGCAATAACAACGGCAACAACAATAGCAAATCATAATCCTTCAAAACCATTGTCTGGTATGCCATTCGTACCAGCTCCCAATCTAGTTACATCGTATGACTTTTCAATAGTTACCAATATATCAGCTTTAGATACATTCAAAATGGCTGACCATTATAGTTCTCAGTTACTTATACTTGATTTGCTACGTCGTCGAATGATGAATACATATTAGTATAAAACTTTTGTCGCAGAAGTAGAAGAAAAACGAATTCTATTTTGATCATATTGAATCTAGTTTTTTTTTAAATTAAAAGAGTTTGATACATCATATAGAGAGAACGCGAGACAAAGCTATATAAAAAGCGAAAAACGTTTTGTCAAAAAAGAACGTACAATCAAATTGGTGGCTAAACAAGCAAGGATCGAGCCGATAATAAGTGAATTATTTTAAATAACGAATTAGCAAAAGAATAAGAACATATGAATCAATGATTATTGACTAACATTTAACAGTCCATTTACGTAGACAACAATCATTACCACCGGTTAGTAATGTGTCATTATCTAACCAAGCCAAGCATGTAACCGGATTCAGAGGATGAGCACCTAAAACATTTACGAATAAATATTTTAGACTAATTCGCTTTACGTGTTTACCTTTAACTTGTGTCACTTTCGAAATATTCTCAGTTTGATGAATCATTAAATGTGTATCAATAGCGACTGATGCTAATTTTTTTCCATCAGGACTAAATGCAAGACCAGTTATAGTTGCTGCATGATATCGCCACATATCACGACTGATTGGCTCGTAATTTGGTAATTGATATAAAGTTATATTTTTCATATTATCAGCACTAGCAAAAAATCGTCCATCAGGCGAATAAGCAACCCGAGTTACACTATCACGTTGTTCTATTTCACGAAGAACAGTTAAAGCTGTGCCATCAACATTAAATATATGAGTTTTATTATCCTGAATAAATAAATAAATAATCATCTATTTGTAGTATTATTTATTGCGCATTACTTTTCCTCCAACTGCAAGTTGTGTTCCTTGTGGCGAAACTGCAATTGATGTTGCTTCATATGGTAATGGATGTGTAACAAGAACACCTTGCTGTTCTCGATACATACAAATAGCTGAGCCACATGCAATAAAAACAACATTTGATTCACTAATCGCTATGTCACGTGGTTGACCAGGTAATTTTTCCATTCGACTAAAACAAGTTATTTGTTTAAATAAGATAACTCTACAGTTCGATCACGCAGATTCAATTTTGATTTTTCTCCACAAATTTTAAGTACAGATATGAATAAAGAGTTTTGTTTGGAGATGAATTATTCAACCTTCAATGTGTTCCCATAATCTTCGAAAACTCGTTTTTTTAAGCATTCACAATTATAAAAGAAATTTTCTATTGATCGCACTAAATTATAGAGCCAATGATTGTCCAGGAAATTCTAAACTCTAGAGTTGCACATTGCCCTTTTACATAAACATTTTACTCTGTAAAATAAAATAATTTCGAGAAATAAATAGCAGTTATTGCTGAGAATTACTGAGCATTCAAAATAGTACACGAGTTACTTATGAGCCAAATTTCAAATCGAAATTTTCTGCTTTTGATTCTGAATGATAGCATTCGATGTTTAAGAATATCTCACTAAAAAAGCTAAAACTGTGCTTATAAATAAACAACAATTTCGAAATGAAAAGTGATATTAGAAAAATCATGAGTCGAAAAAGATCGATTGTTCTGTCTGAAATCTAAGGTAATCTTAATTTAAAAAGAAATGTTTGTTTTCCTGTATGTAAAATCTTATTCTGAACTTTATTGCAATTAGAATGATATTTTTTGGACGAACCATTCACTTGTTAAAAGGGTAACATATGGAACACTTTATAGACATGTTACTGTGACCTTTGCTTACGCGATGCACATTTGATTTCAGTCAATCAGGGCACTTTTTAATGAAAAAATGGCTAAATCAACCGATTTAACAGATTTCTTAAAAGCAGTGTAATTCTATAAAATAAACAACAACATACAATAGACCATTGATAGGTATACCATGTTTTTTTAAAAGATTAGTAACTCTATCACTCAAGTATAGAAAAAAATATGTTTTCGATTTTCTTATCGATGCAAAAAAGGATCAAAATTAAATCTATGTGATCAATTTCTGGAATTAATGCAAATAAAAAAGGGAACAAAAATATTTACTCGTATGATTCCCATGATGAATTGATTAAACGAAGTGTATCATCAAGACCAATTGAAGCAACTAAACCACGTGAATTACTTGCTAATGATTGTACTTGATTAGTATGATTATCACCGATAACATTATTCATTTCGCGTCCGTCAACGCTCCAACGGACAACAAGTCCATCGTGACTACCACTGAAAATTTTCGTACCTTGATTTCCATTACGAGCAATAGTTAAAGCCGTGATACTTTTATTATGACCCTAAAATATATATTTTTGTTTTTAAAGAAAAATAAATTATTTATAAAATTAGTTTTTACTCGAATAATACGAGTTGGTCTTTGATCATTTTGATTAAGATAAGATATTTGTCCGGAAAGTGAAACTGAAATAATATGATTTCCTGACCATAGACAACCAACTTGTTGATCTTTTAAATCAGTACCAAATGGATATGTCCTTAAATGAATCGAAAAAATGAATGTAGAAATAAACAAATAAGACGTTCGAATTTATCAACTAACTGAACAGCTGAACCTGTTGTAATATCCCAAATTTTAGCTGTTTTATCGCCTGATGTTGTTAAAATAAAACGACTTGTTGGATCCCAACATAGGCCATAAATTGAACCAGTATGAGCCGCTGGAGAACCTAATTCTGATAAGCGTTCACCTGTTTTTCCATCGTACAAAATCACCTAATAGAAGAAGGAATAAATTGTGATAAAAAGAAACAAAAAGTTCACGTAAAAACATTACACGCCCATCAGCAGCACCCGATGCAAATTTTTCTCCATCGGGTGAATATCGAACAACATGAACGAATTTCTCATGATTCGACATTGTTGTTTTCCACTTAAATGGCGGTCCTTCAAAATATGATACAGCATTATCTTCACTGCCAGTTATAGCACGAAATGGACGGGTTGGTTTGAAATCCACTGAATTTATTGCTTTTGTCATTCCAGATATTTCACCAACAGAATTACCAGCATCAGCAGAAAATACATGACCAAATCTTTAAAAACAAAGAGGTTAAACTTGTGTCTCGAAACTCTGTAATTACAAAGAGAGATTTTAGACTCATTATTTTTGTAAACTAGACTCGACAGGTGTATCAATACATATACAGCAATCGGTTACTAGTAGTTAAAATCATATCCAATTCTATTAGATTGATATTATGAAATGAAATCTCAAATTTACTTATGGAGTTACGTGGAAGAATTCGTCAAGCTATCTACGATTCTACAAGTACTAAACATATACACATGATTACAGTCTTTTGTAACTAGAACAAATGTTTTTGCCATTTCCTCAAAATAAAGAACGCTTCATAAACCAATGGTCGAACAATATTTACTTTTCTTTCCCTTCTCCACCAACAATAATACGTTGATTATCAGATGTCCAGGCTAAATCTTTTATGCAACCAGAAAATGGTTGAAATTCATTCTTCAATAAATGTTCTTTATTATCGGCACCCCAGATACGAACTTTACCATGGCTATCTAGAATGTTACAAAAGAACAGAACTAACTAAATTCAATATTCAATTAATATCATCATACCAGCCGAAGCAATGTACGATCCACTAGGTGAATATTTTGCACATTGTACAGTTGTTGCATGTTCTGTATAGACTTCACACTGTGATGGATCCTATTATAAATAATTATCCGTAGAAGCATAAACAAAACATACATATTTCAACGTACTTCTATATTACGAATAAAAACACTATTCCCATTTGTATATAAAAACGTTTTCCCCTTTGGATCAGCACCTAAGACGATTGGTTGACCACGAGTTGTTCGTGGTAATGAAGCAAGAATTGATGCTAGAAATGAAAGTTTTTTTTTTCTATCGCTTTACAAAACAAAAACTAAAGAAGACTTACTTAACGTGCAACTCATTTACAGAGCACCAGCGTTGGCTATATGAAAGAAAGAATGTATCTGAAATATTATATTTTATTACAATTTTCATAATTACAGAAAATCAATATTTTATTCAGACTTTGGATCCTATGGTTTCGATGAAAAATGAAAGATTAATCAAAAACAAAATACAACAACACCAATGGAAAAAATATTATTCAATTTCTATAATAAAAAAATAAAATTTAAACTTTTACAACCGAACTTATTTCTTTAATTAATCTTTCATTTTTACTATGATAGAATCAATTTTCCGCAACTAACAACAGACTTATGAAAATGAACAGCTCCATCCTTTTGTCATCTCTTTTATGTGAAGAAAATATAGAAAATAAATAAATCCTTAAAACACACACATGCGCACTTTTGTTCACCAACCATACCATGAAAAAAATTTTATATGCACGTATACATATTTATATATATGAATATAAATGTATATATTAGAGTTTTAATAGAGATTACATTGAATTTCGTATTCGAAATACGACATAATTTATAATTGAACACTAACACATGTATATATATATATATATATATATATGTATATATCGTTTATTATTAGCATTTAAAACCAACTGAATAGTGGATAACGATCATTAAATTTTTGTTTAAATTGTTTAGATTCAGACGGACCATCATGAGCACCACCAACTAATCGTTCGACAATAACACCAGGCATTTGAACTAATTGAAATGGTGATTTACCATCCCGCATAGCTTGCGCTAAATTAATAATCTAAAATTACAGCATAGAAAAAGCCAAATTAAGTTTTGTATTCTTTTTCTGACAACCAAAAATATATATGTATAAGTTACCTGTCCACGCATCACAGATAATTGTCGTTCAACTAAACGACGTTCGTAATTTTTATCTTGAGAAAATAAACGTTGAATTTCATCACATATTTCATGTTGAATAAAGTTCATATCGGATAATAATGGTAATACAAGTTCTTTTATTTCGTCAGAAAACGGAGTTTTAGCTTGCGGTAACCAAGCCCAGTGGAATGGATATGTACGCCATTCATCTGGATGTTTGAATGGAAAAGCAAGGCCATTATCAATGGCAGCTATGTGGATATCAACAGTTGGTTTTGCACTTGTTGTTTCATCTGTAGTAATCGTTGTTGCGGCGTTACTTAGATGATTTACTTCGCCAGCATTTTCAATCTAGATGGCAAAATAATGATGCATCTTTTATTAATAATAATGATATAGATTTAGTTTATTCTATTACCTGTTGTTCTGTTTGTAGTTGCGGGTTAGAAAGCGTCTGAAGAAGCTGCAACAAAACAGAAAAGGAAATATATATATATATGTCTAATTTGACATCTCGAGCATATGTACAACGATGACAGCTATCTATCTACTTACCATATCACGTTCGTTGACTTTCTTGGTTTCGCACTTAACCAGCCAATTGCTGTTGTTGCGATCTATTGATAAATAAAAATAGATAAAACTTTTCTGTTCTCAAAAAGAATAAAAACAGCTTGAATAATTTCACACTCAACAAAAAAAACTCAAAATTATCTTCTACTTCTATTCAAACAATAATCAGATTTACATAGGATTAAAAATCAATAGTAAACAATGTCGAATAATACAGCATAGAAGTTCATTAACCTAGTTCAATCTTAGAAGAAGAAGAAGAAAAAGGATTCTGTTTTTCTTACCAGTATTACGAATAATATAATCTAAGACAACAAGTTTTTCGAATTGCCGTTGGAATTGAATAGCTACATCTGCTGATGATGAATCACGATCGAATTGCTTAAGAAAAGCATCTGCATCAACATATTTTTCAACAAATAATTGAAATGATCCAATCTTTCAGTAGAATAAATAAATATCGTATTAGATAGAGACAAAACAAATAAAACTCGTTTCTTCTTCTATACTTTAGGGTGTAATCCTTTCGGTTGAAACACTCGTCGACCATGCATATGTCGACCAACACTTTCATTTATTTCACGTTTAGCTGTTATTAAATGGCGTTGATATGCTGGATAATTGAATGAATCAGAGGCTAAACGAACGACTCGTGTTTTGGGTACAATATTTAAGCGAAGTTTTGTATCAATAATACTAGCACCAGCTTCGGAAAGATAACCTTGATTAGGTATAAGACAACCACGACCAAAACAACATGGGCAAAGGGTTTTATGTAACCTAAAAGAAATTATTTAACTACTTATTTAATTATTCATAGCAAAAAATGAACAAACCATTTAGTCCATTTAGGATTAAATCTACCATAAGGTTCTTCATCTTTTGGTTTAAATACGCCGATGGTTTTCTATTTAGGAAAGAAAAGCAATTATTTTTTTCTTAATGAAATATTCAAAAAACAAATGACATACTCCTTCGAGATTTCGAACAAAATATGACCCGGATGATCCGGCTGCTATTCGTACTGGTAGTATTCCACCTTCGATAGCTCTTTCAGCTTGTCTAACAACATCAGCATAGTCAGGATCATCAATTATATTCGTATTCCATGGGGGTAAATGAAGATTATCAGCTACGTCCATACCGGAGTTGGTAGAAATTGACGGGAGTAAAAGTCGATGATGTTCGCTAGGTATAATGCAAACGTCTGGTAGTGTATTACTGTTCGCGTGAAACACTGAATACTCTTCAGTATCAGAACTCATCCTATTCAATATGAAGAAAAGAAAAACACAAATATTTGTCAAAATAAAAGAATTTAAGAGCTCAAAATTTGATTTCACAGAATAGCAAAACAACTACCTGTTTAGAAGCAAAGACGTTTTAGACAAGTCCTATAGATTAAATTAAGTTTTTGTTTTCTTGGTAATTTATGACATAGCATTTTAGTAGAATAGACACAAAAGGAAGCATGCACTCACGCTCGTAGTTCTATTGTCCATGGCTTGGATTATCAGGAACGATCTTTTTTTTATCTCGAGTTAAGTGGATTTATCTTGCTGCTCAATTCCTCGGTTGGTTAACTGGTTGAAGAAAAATATGATTGAAAAGTGAACCGTGTGGATCATGAGCTGATGTGGAAACAAATGAGTCATTTTAATCTATTTTTTTTCGACTTATGTTCCAATTGCAATTCTTTGAAAAATTTACAAGATTAAAAATATGAATAATACTACTCTCTGAGTATACAATTGATTTTTTTTAGGGAAGAAAAAAATTACATGTAAAATTTAGATACAAACAGTCGATAGATGTCACTAATAATCAAAATGCCACATCAGTAGGATGCACTATCATATTTTGATACTTCCTTAAAAGGCAATAATCAATCGTATAGAATATTTCCGTTACACTGGAAATTGTTGATAGAATGTCAAATATGACAACTATTTGTAAACAAGAAAATAAAACTAATAGGATTTATTGGTACTGATTTCTTCTAGACCATATTTCGTTTCTTTTACGTAGTTAGTACTATGTGCGTGACAATAGTCAAGATGCTTATGTCAATAGAGTTATTTGAAGCTAATACTTGCTATATTAATTTCTTTTATTGAACTACAATCTATTAACTTTGCTATAAAACGCAATGAAATAAGCAATCCATCAAGTTTATTCTATCGCTTTCAATAATATATTTATTGAGCTACTGGTTACGTGTCAATCGATTAGCTAGCTACAATGATTTCTTCTCTAAGAGATCTTTATTTTGGTATGGATGAATAGTACATTATGTAAATGTGTAATATTTTCAATTCGCAATACACGTATATACATGCTTCTCTAAATGTTGTATTTCCCTTCGTGTAAATGCATTCATTTGGATGATGATCAAGAAATCTAATATGCTCGGGAGAATTTGCGAGCATACTTGAATATGAGTTCAGAACATGACTACATTGATATTGTGGCCTCGACCTAAGCAATTTGTTGCGCATCAAGTATATTTTAATAACATCCTTTATGATCAGGAAATTAACTTGAACTAATCAGTAAAATAAAGTTTTAAAACTCTGATATTAGCTGGATGCTTTATTTTTACTTTAAACGCCGTCCATCTAGTAATTGCTATTACTTGCTGTTATTTTTCGCTTGGCGTTCATATATAGTGGAATAAACTACAAAATAGAAAAAATGTAATCTAGATCACTTAATCATGTATGCATCGGCATTGATGAGATATAATTGACTTTCATACAATCCAAAGTACATCACCTTTTTAGAACTGATAGTGCATTCATTCATAAGCAATGAAAGACGACAGCAACAAAAGAACATGTCCTTACCAGAATATCTACTGAATAGATGAGACATACGTGTACTCTAATTTTGTACATCATTGAAATCTTCTTTTTTTTTTAAGTATTCGGTGTGTACCACAAAATAATTGTGTACTGTGCAAATTGTCTATGTTTATTTATTGTAATATTTTTCGTTATGACACAAAGATGTAGGACATTTCTGTTGAAAATTTGAGTAAATCATGAACAACTAAAAGCATTGACGATTTTTATTTAATGAGAACTATTAACTATCGAAGTTATTGCTTTATCAAAAGAATTTTGCAAACCTCCCGGAGATGAAAAACATATTAAAAAAAAAGAATAAAACTTCAACAACAATATTATCATTGAAGAAATTCGTATTTTTGCTCTGGGACGATTCTAGTTTATTTGAAAATGATAGAGCTAGTGGTATTGAAAATTAATCTCAACTTTTAAATTGCGACAGATTACTAAAAATACATTCGTCTTTTTTAATTCAATGGTACCTTGAGGTGATTTAGCTAAAGAAAGGTTTTATTCTTTTGATTTTTCCCTTTGCCATAACAAATTTTATATTGAATATTTTCTAGTTATAAATACGGGAGCAAGTTTTGAACTACTAACTGAGGTGAAAATTTCTTAATAAAGTATAAATGATCCATTTTATAGTTCTCTGTTTCGCTATTTGATAAATTTACAGAGTCAGTAACTAGCGGAAATGAAATCTGTTGCATTATGATAGTGTGAAAATACGTGCCATAGACCGACAGAATGAATTCTCCTAGATCATCTTTCATGTAGCGTTAATATCACGAAAAGAAAATTTTAAAAAGGGTAGCTTCAAGAAAGTTCATCAATTATAAACATAAAAAAAACACAACGAAGTCCATATTCATATGCAATGAGTTTAATTATTATCTTCATGTTTTAAAAAGTTTTTCTTCTTAACAAAATATCGATGATTAAAAAGTATGTCAAGAGAAAATTTCGAAATGCGTAGTAGAAATGATATCTTCTATTGCGATGACATCATATTTGATAAATTGTCTTGAGGTGTTTTAGTTCAGCGTGAATCTAGCATGTTTGTAAATAATCTACGTGTAGTTAACTATATACAATATCACAACATATGAGAATCATTGTAGATTTTCATTGGCTTTTTCCTATGCAAGAATTTGTCTAATAATCAACGAGGATTTTTCAAAGATCTTAATAAAAATGTAACAAAAGGATTTAGTGCAGAAATGCTTCTATCTTTCTTAAAGACTAAATCAAATGAGGCGAAAAATAACTGACTATTTCAAAATAATTATATTACAAGAAAAATGAATAAAATGACAAATATTATTTTTATGTGAGTAAAGAAAACGGTTAAAGTGTCTTGAGGATTTTCTAAAATCTATCCCTTGCCATTTTTTACAGCTGAAAGAATTCAAATTGGCAGGTATAGTTGTGAAGCGAGTAGTTGTATGCACAAAAAATAGAACCGAAAAACTTGTCATACACAGTACTTGTTTACGAAACTTTTGGTTTACGCATGATGGACTTATAAAATGAATGTAAAATGCCATTATGCTTAAGTATAATTATTTTGAAACGGACAACTTTGTGAACACTTCTTTTTTCTGTACCATTCATAATCCATTGACATCTACTTATTGCCAAGCGGAGGAGTAGCAATAAATTCACCATTTGATTTTGTTGCCTTGCCAGTTTCGATATGAATTAACTCTCTCAACTAATTATTAGTCGTTTGAATTGAACAACAAAACCATTAATAACTTTTAAATTCCAGAAATCATGTCTTTGTTTGTGGAGCGATGTCAACTGCGCATTCAATTTGATGTGCTAATTAAAAAATTGTTTTATATTATTTGTTTATTTAGATTCAGATGAACTTTATATTCAACGGCGCAGTCTCTATAAATACTCTAGATGAATATTTTATATTTATATGAGTACTACCAAACGATCCGATTGTAGGTAAATAGTGACTACAATATATTAGATTGTATATTTTTTATTATTGATTTAGATTAATCTCAATATGAAATTCAGTAGTAAGTGTTATTTTACGTAAGAAATCCTCAGTTGAATTCTAACTGATGATGCTCTTTTTTATATATGCTAGAAGAGAATACATTTTATCTTGTAAGCAATATAACGGAGCTTTCGATTCACAATAGCATTATACTAGTTAGTTGTGTGTTCAAAGATCACAATGTTTTTCTACAAAGTACACATTTCAAAACATGTATGACCCTAAAGTGCAATCATAAAGTTTATCTTTTGAAATAACTTTTTTGTATTAAAATTAAATGTAACTAACAAAAGCATTCATTTGATATTTGTCTCGGATTGTTATTATTTACATAGAAAAAATAATTTCCGTCAAGTTTTAATTGAAAGAATATTTAATTTATATATAATTGTACCAGAAGCGCATGTATTTACTTGAGAATCATTATAAAAGTAGAAGATTAAAAACTCGCCGAATATACTTAAAATCCTTTAAGTTTCATGCTACTTATGCTCTCTAAAATAAATCGAATGACATGACTTACTTTCACCTTAAAATATTCACCAATTGCAGTTTTTCACTGTTTACTTAATTAGGTTTTGTAAATATTTCATCACTATAGAAAAAATATTTTCAGCTATAGATAATAATATATGCTACTTGCATTGACAGTGCTCTATTACTTTAAGCATGAATATCTTATATTTAGTGGACTTTCCACAGAATAAATTCTGATATAGGGTTCTATTATTTTTAGCATCATTATAAAACAGGATCTATTTCATCAGAAGTCTAACTTCCTAATGAGAAAATTATTCGGCACATAAAAATTTAAGTTGGCTCACTACTGATTTTTACTTATGCTGGCTAAACAAATATTGCATGTTAACGCAAGTGCACGATGACATGTTACTGGTAAATTTGTCATACAACTATAGAATTCAGTAATCTTATTGTGATAAATAAAAACCCATTTCTTAACCTTAAAAAATTCAATATTAACCCTTACTGTTACATGAACTTGTAGAAGAAGAGAGTATGTTCAAGTTTTGTTTCCCTGTGAGAAAATATGAAGTGATACGCTATAGTCGCAACCTAAAATCACGTATAGTCAACGTTTCGGCGAATTCAAGCAACTACGATTGCACTTCTGTTTACTATAATAACTCTAGTATTAGTTACTGTTCTCCTTATTCCTTCAATACTTTCTGTTACAAGATACTAGCTTTATTGAAAAAAATGAATACATATATATTCATGACTCCAGTGTTAATGTACATCATCGTTCTATTTATTCTTCGATGAATGTACACGTTTTTTTAGCCTGGCTATTTGTTTATTTTTTGATGTTGAAGCAATGAGATCAGATTGAGATGATGATGTGCAAGATGAAGACGAAGCGGCAGTAGTATGATCGCTGTGTCTAACTATAAGACGATTCAATATTAGAATTGACCGTAAATAAGATTTAGGAGCAGCTTGCTCCGTTGTTGCTTTCGACAACTATTGGTTTTTAATCAATTTATACCCTGAGAAACAACTTCTGAGACTATAGCACAAGGAGTATAGGCAATGAAAGAATAATCACCTACTTTTATGATCATGGGTGTAATCAAGAATGCAACCTATTATTATCTATAAGAGCAGAAAATCTTTATAACAATTACAATATCCTTATAAATTCTTTTACGGACTCCACCTTTAAGTACCCTTAGAATTTCCTTCCGAACTACCGACGGTGTTAATTACGATCTCCAGATATTGCATTAAATATAGCAAAAATGCTCTATTCCGAACATCCGGTAAACACATTACGATCTTCATGCTGTCTATTACGATCTCCGGTACATAGGCGTTTACGAACTTCTGTCATAAATTTTTACGAATAAAATTCATTTCCGAACATCCGGTAACATTTACCGGCGCTCGGAACAGGTGAGACGAAGCGTAAATCCCCCAAATTATCAGCAAAACAAATGAGATAATCATTAAGATATTTATAATAGAATATATCTCATTAGTAACTTCACTTAGTATAGGTTGGAAAAAAGTTCTAACGATGTATTTCATTAATCAGTATACGTGCTTTTGATTCAAATAAGAATAATGATTATGCATCAGATTTGAATGGTAAATCTTGATATGAAAATGGTTTAAATTTCTTAATGAACTAAACTGATAAAAGAAGAATAAAATATATTAATTAAATAGCATGCGTAGAGAAAATTAGTTTGTATCAGTCAGTATCTTAAGCAGCTGTGTCATTTTTAATGATGATCATTAATTTCTTTTTCTCGGACTAAAGCATAACACATACATCCGACTATACGTGACATGAAATAGTTCGTCGACCGAATCCTTTTGATCTAGCATATACTCAAAAGTATTAAATTATGCAATTGAATATTCTATGTAGGACAACCGCATCAGAAAACCTTAGGCTCGAACCGTATGCAGAAAATCAAAATATTTATATCAATGACTACTTAGATTGTTATAAGTATTCATAGCAATGGGAAAAGTTTCTAATAAACGAAGTCGAATAATATTGAGGGACCATTGCATGTTCTCATGATGCAATGTCATAGTGAAGTAAGAGTGTCCCTAGTGTATGCGGATATGATTGTGTGTGTATGGTGATGCTGGTCGGGATCATCTGTACACTGTAGAGATATTCAGAGTCAAGACCAGGATAAAACTAAAACATTGGTTGCAGACATCTCGATAAACTTCAACTATTCTTTGAGAAATTATTAATGCTATTCGTTATATTTTAGGTCATTATTTTGATCAATATGAACGTCCAATTGTTGGTCTCATTCATAAAATTCAGTTATCGACAATCGGTGTTAGAGTGGCACGTAATGAAATTTATTTGAAATATCATTATCATACATGTCAATTTCGTAATGAGCCAAATTTCTTCTTACTAATATATGATCTTCTCTATTCACGTGAGATTGGTTTCAATCGTTATATAAGTATACTGGATAAAAAAAGAACATCTATTTTTTTCCCAAGCAAAATATATAATATTGATTTTCATATTTGACTAGTCATGGGAAGTATAATCCCATCTATAATAACAGTACTTACAAATGCAATACCTTTTCGATGGATAATAGCTATTCAAAGTTCATTGAATCAACAATCTCGATTGTCACAGCGTCGAACAGAAGACACTCGTCGAGTGATTACTATCATAACAATTAAATGTATTTTAGCAGCTATAAATTCTTGGTTGATTAATGTTATTTTAAGTATTAAATACTGTGTCTGTTCTCTTGCCATTGGTGATGATTGCCCAAGTTTTTTAAGTCGTTTTAATCGATTATTAGTTTTTAATGGTTTACTGAATTCAATGTCAAATATAATTCTTTGTTCATGTGCAGGTAGAAGATTTCGTCAGGAATTAAAACATGTTAAATACGTGGTTAGATACAATAAAAAAACGTCTTCCATGTTATTGGTACATTGCATGAAAAACATCCTTTCAATCGATGAGACGTTATGATGATGAAAACTGTATGGCTCAATCGGATTCATCCAGTAAACGATCAAAAACTTCAATATCAGGATCTAAACAGCAGTATCACTATATAAGATTACGCGTTATCACTTATCCAACTTTGGTTGCTTAAAATTGTAAAAAAAATCATTTTAAATAACATTTTTCAAGTTATTTTCAACGAACAAAAAAAAACAGAACGATTGAAATATCTATTTTTCTATCTTCGTTTTTTTTCTGTTGTAATTCTTTGAAATAAATCGTATAATGACCGACAAAGTTAACGGATTGTTTTGACAGGCTTATTTTGTGAAACATGATCTACACAAGGAATATTAGAGCATAGAGATAACGATTGAGTTTACTTCATTCACAGATGGAATATCAATAATATGTCATTATGATATTTCTGATTATGTTTCGTAAGGGTGAAATGAAAATATTCTGAAGATATGTGCTTGATAATTGAAAGAATAACATCATTTTTCGATGATGAGTAATAGCAATTAATTCGTGTCCTAAATTTTAAGTTAACAGGGCTGCAATGACGGCTTCGCCCATTAAGTTCAAACGAGGAAAAACATTTTCTATAATTTAAGCAGGACAAAAGTAGCTTTGCCAAATTGCATACCAAATTGTATGGTCCACTAAAGCAAAAATATTATGTGGTAAAAGCAAATATTCATACATATATTAAAATATTATTACTTTAGATAAAATTCTGGAATAGAAAATCAATAGTTTTCGCTATGTCTAGTTATTTCACATAAAGAAGAATCTGAATTAAGTGACATTGGTATTTTCTACTCATCTATCAATTAATTCTTCTGGTATACAGCAATATAAGCAAAGTAATAAAGGAAGCCAACCTGGAAATATTCAACAAATCTCAATTCATGATTTCAGCTGTTCACAAGCAGTAGTATTCGGATTCTGCCGTCAGCTGTTAAAGTATAATCGAAATTTTTGAATATTTTCTAAAATTGTTCTTGTCTATTCCATTTTCAATCTCTTTATTATACTACGTGAAGCACGGTAGCTGAATGCGCTTGACTGTTTAACTAATCTTTTTTTACTTTTATCTGATTATTTCAAAGTTCTTCTATATAAAAATATAGGCATCCAGAAAACGAGAAGGAACGGCAATATCGTTCTTTTTAATGTATCTATCATATCATTATTGAATTGAGCTGCATAAATATGTAACAGAGTTCTTCATTATAAGTTAACCAACATTTTTGGAAACAGATTATCAATTCTTTTGAATCTGCCCATGTGAAAGTTTTTTGCATTGTAAACTATTTATAAGCGACTTACATTAGCTTACTGTGATATTAAGCAACTTAAAATCGCTTAGACTCATACAGATCAAGCTGTTTCAATGCGCTTTCCTGAGTAAAACGCTTACTTTTGCTTAGGAATATATTTTTAAAGCACTTATCACTGCTTGTGCTCTAAATCGCATAAAAGCGCTGGGAGTTCTATCATATTTAAGTACTGGGAAGCGCTGATTCTGTTATTAAGCGCTTATTATCTAAAATGCTTAAGAGTACTGAGGATTTTCTTTTATTTAAGCATTTTGAAGTATTTGCTTTAGAATTCACCTATGGATACTTAAATTTCATCACTTTGAAGAAAAATTTCCTATAGAAATTCATTTTAGTGGCTCTGAAATAGATCTCTAAATCAACATTTGCTCCAGGTGCTATTTGTTTCAAAACATTTTATGCTCGAGTTTTTTTAAAGTAAAATTTATACTTTGTAAAAGACAATTATTTTAAAAAAAAAATTGACCGTGAAATAAAATACACAAGTTACAAAGAAAAAAAAGACTCAGCACTTAATTCCTCAACTCAAAAAATAGCTGCTTAAATTTATTAATAAAATTTTATTTTCGTAAAGTAAGTTTCATCTGAGAATGATTTAGTATATAACAATAATCATAGAAAATCAGCATTGGTGACTTCACGAAAAATACTTAATTACAATATCTAGTTCGATCAGCGTACAACGCAGTTTAGTTCATACAGTTCATACACAAATATGACCAAGTGGTTTGTATATCCGACTTCGAATTCTGAAAAGTAGAAAACCACCAGATATTCGAATCTAACTTCTAGTAACCGAACAATTTTCAAATATCAAATTAAATCGCTCTCTATCGGAGTAAGTGAAGAAGCGACAGTTATTGATAAGTAATAGCATCAGAGTCTAAGCAACTAACGTAAGGTAAATAATGGTGTCAGTGATAGAAGGTCTATGATTTTTTTCAGTCCTAAAAGCGCTTATTAAGCTAAAATTTAAGCTAATTTAAGCTAGCTTTTTCGTTGAAATTTTTACATGGGTGACGCTTTTAATATTTGATCTTTTTCTTTTGAATTTCATTCTGAGGGAACAGATCTTTAAAAATTAGCTGAAAATCTATCTCGGCCACTATCTCTCCCTTTAGCATTAGAACAAGAAACTATTTTCAAAGGAAACTCTGTTGCAAATCTTTCACACATGAAACTTAGATAAGAACGTTTACTTCTTATTGTCGTACATGGAGACGGTCTACAATTGACATTTAACCTGACATCTGGATCCATGTTAATCTATTATTTTCTATGCAGTCACCGAAATGTATGATCGCAATATCAAGCTAAAAAATGGTTAATATAGATTGAATGATATCGAGTGAACCCTTGAAAAGATTCGTGCACTATTTGAGAATACAAAAAAAGGTTTTATAGATTTAATTGTGTTTTTCAGGAAAAGATAGTATCATGGGAAGAAGGAAGATTAATAAAAGCTTGTGGTGCTTCGCAACTATTTAGCCATCGAGAAGATCCCACCACTTCTACATGGCAGACAAAACCGAAAAGATTTCCTAGTGTAGCTTATGAATCTGTCTCATATAGTATGTGATCTACTAGACCAATAGAACGAGTAGCTGTCTAATTCGAGTTCGATTATAAATGGAGAAAAGAAAAAGTTAAACTGAAACTAAATCTAGGAATAAATTTAGTTTTAGTTTAAGCTTCCGATATATGCAACATATGAATATATATATACCCCTACAACCGCACCCACACTCCAAGGAATACAACCCAGGCACCACCCTGGGTACTTCTCACCTGCATCCACATTTGAGCACTCCTTCATAACACCCATAACCCACAGTCACATTTGAAGTATCCTGAGTACCCCTCCCCCAGCACTCCTTCTGGGTACTCTTCCGACCCACCCCTCACTCTCACCGCCACCCACGGTCACCCATTAGTCATCTCAACCCACACCCACTCCATCTTAAACTAAATCTATTTCTATCACTTATTTTCGAATTGATACCATGCAGTTGGGTGTCCATTTATATTCGAATTCGAACTAGACACCTCATGAAAATCTTCTATTGAAAGTATATATTTAGTTTAATTTAAATAAAAAATAATCAACTTTTTTTTAGCTTGCAATAACGATGAAACCAGAGACCATAAATGAATTAGAATATCGAGATGCTATTAATAGTTCTTTTTTGTTACGAGAATATCTAGAATTTCATTTCAATTGAATAGTCTATATTTTGAGGCTACGAATGAATTAGTGTTAATTGTCTAATTCGAATTATCAGACAAGTACTGTAGTTAAAAATTTGTATCTTTGCAAATATGCTATTATGAAAGAACAGTATAATTAATAATCCGAAGAATCTAAGACAACTATGATACGTTGCCGAAACATAGTGGATCGAGACTACGAAAAAGAAATTAAACAGTGAACATTGATTCATTCAAATAAATCTTGAGTGATGTAAATGTAAGTGATATTCTCCTTCGCTCTTTCTATCGAGTGACTGGAACATGCATCAACTTATGTGAAATTAGTTATATCTTGTTATACATTGAGTAGCTAATTTTATTGACCAAATTTGCGCGAATTTGAACAATTTGTGTAAACTCGGATTTCAAAATTCCAACAAGCCGAATTTTAGCTTCATATCTGATCATATACATGTATATGAGCAGTTTATTGTTGATTATCTCTCCGTTTCGAATATTTTAAGTTCACTTATTCTATCTATGTCATTCAATGCCAATAGTAAAACTCTCTTTTGTTAGCCATATTTATCACAAGACTGCACAATAAATAAAATAAAAAATTCTAATTATAAGCTTGGATGAATAAAATATATAATTGATGTTTAATCAAAATAATTGGAAAACATCTTGAATGAGATGGGTTCAGTATAAACAATCATATGTTCTAGCAACAACATTTCTATTGCAATAATAATTTCATTTTCTTGAAATATATCTGTAAATCTCAATTGGCTTGAGATGAATCAAGTAATCTAAAATTTCTGTTCAGAAATAAATGACATGATATGAATATAGAAGAAGAAATGAGTGCACTGATAAAAAAAAGTGCCGAATGATAAACATTTAAAGCGTTTATGAAAATCCAATGTATGATATACCATTGTCTACCGTTTAGCAGCATGCGATAAACCCTGTTATCTACCCATCAAAAGACGAAATAAAAAGATTTATCAAATGAATATACCGCGTGCCGAAAGGTTTATCATAGCGTTTATACGACTGAGGAACTTTAAAAGGGTCTATCATACGTTGCATTTTCATAAGCCCTATCGAAGGTGTTAGAGAGTACTCTAACAAATTATTTATTTATTTATTTATTCTTATACATTCTTGTGTCGTCTTTATACATTATGAATTCTTATATGTGCAATCCAACTCGAGATGCACATACGTCAGCCGCTCTTTTTCATTCTTTCTTTCATCTCTATGCGTATCTCTCTATTGTGTCTTCTTTCCTCCCGTGCGTGACGACGTAAATAATGGCATCGTTTCTTCGACTGGAATTTAAGTGAATTTATAGAATGATGCACCATCATCTTTGTATACAAAATCGTCTAGCCGAAGAAACAAATGCATTTTCTTCCTTTGTTTCTTTTCTTTCTCTCTTGTGTGTGTGGGTTGTATTGTATAAATAGAAAAAAAAAGAAT